GTGACGCTGGCCCGGCGGGGGCGCTTCCGCGTTCGAAAGCCCCCTTTCCCGAACTCTTGTGGAACCCCAGCCAAATCCCGCGAAACGGGCCCCGTGACCGCCCCAGACCTTCCAAGAGGCAGGCTTTTGAAGGAAAAACAAAACAAAAACCACGCTCGGTTTTATGGGAAAACAGGTCTCTTCTAAGGAGAACAATACCGTTGGATCACAAAGTACATTTCGTACAGAAGCTTAAAATACGTCTAGAAAGTCCCTTTGCGGTTTAGGGCCTTAAATGAAGGAGGGACGTTATGGCTGGCTTAAAAAAAAAAGAAAATCGCTTGGTAACTTTTACTTCTAGTTCCTCGAGTCCATAATTTGATTTTTTTCTTCTCCGAGTCATTTGTTAGTGACGAAGGGGTAGCGTTTGCTCATTCCCTACTAACACTGTTCAGACATGTACGTAGGTGTGTTACAGCCAGAGTTAGGTGTGGCTCCAGAAGTAAATAACAGTAAAGTAAAAAATTTCCTTCCCTTAAGCTTAAAAAATTTTAGTCATAAATTTCAGTTACAAAAAAAAAATGTGTACATATTCACGCTTAACTGGAAAACAAAGGCCATCTGGATTTTTGTTGCCACTCTGCCCTAGTGAGATAACCACTTAACATTTAGGGTGAGTCCTTCTGATTAGACCTTTAAAAATGTATTGTCTTTTTCTGCTAAATTTTCTTTTAAATGGCTGACCAGGTTGAGTACAGTATCTAGAAACTGGCTGGCTGGCTGGCTGGCTGCCACCGATAATCCCCAAATCCAATTTTAGTCATTTGATTCCTTTTCTGTGCCCAGTCTTTCACCAGAGCCGCAAATGCAGCAAAATGAACTGAGCTTCACTTCCTTTTTGTGCCTCTGGCCCCTCTTACAGATATGCTTGTGAGCAGCAAGAGTCAACAGGCGGGTGGTAGGAAGGCAGAGAAAAGAAAACCAAAGGTGTTTAGGTAATCCATGAATCGCCTAATAAAACTTTTTTAAAAATAAAACTCTCTCCAAAACTTAAATTCACATTTAGTTAGGCCTGAAAATTCTCAGCAAGAAGAGTGATAGAGATCATCCTAGGTTACGTCTGTAAAATAAAAAACCTAAAGGGACAGTGACTTGCCAGAGGTCAGAGGCTACGTACCAATGTCAGAGCTTTAACTCCCAGATCTCTGGTACCTGCTTCCTTCTGGCTCCATCACCCATCCAGCCCACGCTGACTTCCCAGCCTGGAATATTATTTAGCACTTAAACGACATAGGCCATCAAGCCACCAAAAGACATGAAGGAAACTTAAATGCATATTAAGTGAAAGAAACTAATCTGTATGATTCCAACCTGTATGACATTCGAGAAAAGGGAAAACTATGGAGACAGTAAAAGAAAGGATCAGGGGGTGGGGTGAGGACGGGGTACATCGGCAGAGGACAGGATTTTTAGAGCAGTGAAGTTATTCTTTATGATACTACAGTGGTGGCTGTATGTCATTATACATCTATCCAAGCCCATAGGATGTACAACACCCACAGTGAACCCTCAAACTGTGGACTTTGGGTGACAATGGTGTGTCAGTGCAGGTTCAGTGATTGTAACAAATGAACCATCTGGTTAGAGGGATGTTGTGAGCAGGTGGATAGGGTATATGGGAACAATACCAGGATGAACTACAGTTTATTTTTTCATTCACCTCCTGAAAGACGAAGTTGCTTCCAAGTTTTGATGATTATGAATAAAGCTGCTGTAAACATCCATGTGCAGCTTTTTGCGTGGACGTAAATTTTCATCTCCTTCGAGTAAATATGAAAGAGTTATGTGATCGCTGACTCGTATGGTAAGAGCTTGTTTTGTTTTGTTTTGTTAGAAACTGCCAAACTGTCTTCCAGTGTGGCTGCCCCGTTTTTGCATTCCCACTAGTGTGTGAGAGTTCCTGTTGCTCCACATCTTTGCCAACATGTGCTGTCGTCACTGTTGTAGGTTTTGGCTTTCTGTTAGGTGTCTCATTTTAATTTGCAATTCCCACGTGATGTTGAACATCTGTAAATGTGCTTACTTGCCATCTGTATATCTTTTTTGGTAAGGTGTGTATTTAGGTCTTTTGCCTGGTTTTTCATCAGATTGTTCATTTTCTCGTTAAGTTTTAAGAGTTCATTGTATACTTTGGATAAATGTCCTTTATTAGATGTGCCTTTAGCAAATATTTTCTTAACAGTTGGTGGCTTGTCTTATTCTCTTCAGAGTGTCTTTTGCAGAACAGAAGTTTTAAATTTTAATGAAATCCAGCTTATCAATTACTTCTTTCATGGATTGTGTCTTTGGTGTTTTATCTAAAAATGTTATCTCCATACCCAAGGTCATCTTCATTTTTTTCCTGTGTTATCTTCTAGTTTTAATAGTTTTGCATTTTATACTTACGTCTGTGGTCCATTTTGAGTTAATCTTTGTAAAGGGTGTTAAGGCCTGTGTCTAGATTTCATTTTTTGTGTACATGAATATTCAGGATCATTTGTTGAAAAGACCGCCTATCCTTTCTCCATCGATTTGCCTTGGCTCTTTGTCAGGATCAGTTGACTATATTTGTGTGGGTCTATTTCTGGGCTCTGCATTCTGTTCCATTGATCCATTTGTCTGTTCTTCTGCCAATACCACACTGTCCTGATTACTGTAACTTTATAGTAAGTGTTGAAGTCTGGTAGTGTCAGTCTTCGGCCTTTGTTCTTCTCCTTCGATATGAGTGAGCTATTCTGGGTCTTTTGCCTCTGTCAGCTTTAGAATCAGTTTGTCAGCACCCAGGAAATAACTTGCTGGGGTTTTGACTGGGACTGCCTGGATTCTATAGATCAAGTGGGAAAGAACGAACATCTTGACGACATTGTCTTCCTGTCCATCACAATGGAATAGCTCTATATTTATTTAGTTCTTTGATATCTTTCGTTAGTTTTATAGTTTTCCTCATGTAGCTCTTGTACATATTTTGTTAGATTTATACCTAAATATTTTACTTTTTTGTTGCTAATGTAAACGGTGATGTGTTTTTCATTTCAATTTCTACTTTATTGCTGGTATGTAGGAAAACGATTGACTTTTATATATTAACCTTGTATTCTCTAATCTTGCTGTAATTGCTCGTTAGTTCCAGATTTTTTGTTGTTGTTTTGTTTTCAGTCTAGTCTCTTGGTTTGTCCGCTCTGACACTGATGCCCATGTTCTCCTTCCTGGTGTCCCCCCACCCCCACCCACCCTGTGGCACTCTGGCTGCCAGCCTGGCCTCCTCCACAGCCTCCCCGTCCTCCCTCAGCTGCCAGGGAACCGTACACCACCCCTCAGGTAGCCCTTGTCTTTCGCTTTCCACTAGTCTGTTTGCCTCCACAATGAGATCGTAATCACCGTGCCTTTCTTAACTATTTATAGATCTTCCCGTGCCCGGTATTCCTCTTCTTGAGTATCGTAGTAGCCCAGGGGCTGATGATGAAATAATAAAAAAGTAAGTCCTGGGAAGTCAGCGTGGGCTAGATGGGCGATGGAGCACTTTGTGGAGAAATTAGGAGCACCCCGAGCTCATGGGCGAAAGGACCTTTCAGATGGGAAGAGTAGGCAGAAGCATGTTCCGAGGATGCTCAGGATAGTGGCTTAAAGTGGGCATTTTAGGAACACTGTTTGAGGGACGTTTGGTAATTCTGTACACATTTTTGGTTGTCATGATTTGACGGCACTATTTGGTATCTAGTGTGTAGAGGGCAGGGATACTGCTAAACATCCTTCATGCACAGGACAACCCCTCCTCTTCCCCCAACAAAGAATTCTCAGGCTCCAAATGTTAACAGCGCTGAGGCGGAGCAACCCCGGAGCAGGGGACCGAAGACTGACCTTTGTTCTTTCATCCACCTGGCATACTCGTGAAGATTAACCTTTGCTTTGTGATTGCTGCTTATGGTGAGCAGCTCATGTCATCTCATGGAATCTTCACATAAGCCTCTATTAGATGTGTTATATTATGGTGAGAAGACAGGCTTGGAGGCGTTGACTTGCCCAAGGCCATGCTACTTTCTGGGAAGCCAGCAAAGGCCTGTTCTTTTACCTCTGCCTCCAGGCCTGAGGTTAAGGC